TTATAACTTCTAATGGGTTGATATGAGTTATGGCACTTTTCATTCACAGCATGTCAGCAAAACAACGTCATTGTTGTAAGAGAAACTTGAACTTTATGATGAACTTGAACTTTCAGTTGCTGAATTATTTTTTTGCACCTGATCTGAACAATCTAAACTTTCAGATCATTTGGAGAACAAAAAAAAGTTAATGACTGTCGAAATGCCAATACAGTTATCACACAACCATTGAGAAAAATATCAAACAGGGCAGTTAAATACACAGTTGAAACATATTCATGTAAACTGTTTTTTTTTGCTATTTGATTTTATAATTCTGTTTAACCAGTCTTATGATTTACCCAGATAGCAAGCAATGGAGCTGCAAGTTTGAAAATGACTTGCTAAACTATTACTAGACTTGCCAAGCGTCACAATTTTGTTGCACAATTACAGCAAGTCTGCATTGCAAGTCTCCAGAGCAACCCGCTTTGCAAAGTTGCTGTACACTTGCAGAGCTCTTGCTAAGACTCTTGCTGTAGACTCTTGCTGTAGACCTGCCAGGCAAATTTGCTACAAAATTAAAAAGTGTCTACTAGAACTTGTGCTGCAAGTGTTCTGCAAGTCTACAACTTGCCAGGAATGTGTGCAGCAAGTTAACAAGATTTACAATGTAACCCTGCCACACGTTTGTGGCAAGTTATCCTTGCTATCTGGGTACATATCACACAACAAAGCCAGGCAAGTGACAGCTTCATTTCCAGTCCCTTCTCCACCATTAGTCTACTCATTGGACAATTGGCAGAATCACCTTTGTCCGATGTTGTCCCATTGGACATAGAAGTAGTAGCAATTTTCCTGACTGTGCAGTAAGGCATATGCCTATACATCATAGTATTCTGTTATTTGTATTACAAAAAGGAAGGAATGTTGGAGTAGAAATAAATAAGCAGAAATGGGGAGATCATTACACTGCAACCTTCTCCAGCATGGAGAACAGTGAGAACCACAGTAGGGACATCACAAAAACTTCATATCTTGTGAAACTAGCACTGAGCATGTTTTCATCAGAAAGGCTGTTAACAACATAGGATGCTCTGGAACAGGTGGAGGTAAGTAAGCAGTTGCAGGTAAGTTATTTGGGGTAAATTTAGGGTAAGTTATAAAGGCACAGCTGTCCTTTAACAATAATGCCCAAACACACAAGTACAGTATACACTATGCTGCAATGAATGTATTTAGCTTTGTTGGAGGTTGCCTGTATACTTTTTCCATCCAGTGAAAAGTGATTAAAACTTCTGTCGGTCCATGTCATTACTGGCCAGGCCTGTAAAACACTAACCAGTAAGAAACCAGACATAACAGGAAACAAGTGAAAATTCCACTGAAACCACATACAGTACAGTACATCTGAAAAAATTGCCTTTTGTTGATCCAGCTGGAGCCATCAGGGCCGTCCACAGCTTGAATTTTGACCAGTTCAGCAGAAATTTGAAGAATATCTCCAGAAATTTCAAAAGTCCCTTGCAGTGGAATAAACAATGAATGTTTACCGCCAAAGGATCGAGGATCAGGTGAGCGTGTCTTCTTTATGCTGCTCCCTAGACCAAAACAAGCAGTTAATCCTTGCAGTGCAGGGGTAGCCCCACTGCAAATGTTAACTTTTTTAATTCCTGGAGATGTTCTTTAAGCTGTGTATGGCCAGATTTACCCACTCTAGGGAAACCTACAAATAAAATAAAACTGTCTGGAACTGAGGTTTAACTGCACAAATTGTTTTCCTGCCAATATTTCTGAGAAGATAGTAATTTTCCCCATAGACTGTCATGCTAGACTACAGTGTATTAGCAAAGTTCAGATTAGCATGAGGAACATATGGCAGGGATTTCTGTTCAGAAAAAATGACCATGTGACATATTAATTCTTTTTCATGTGAAGTGTTAGAGAAATGATATGCAGAGTGTAAGAGTTGGATAATCAGCACTAACTACTACTAATAGCCTCAGAACACTCTACTCCTACTTAGGAGCTTATTCAAGAGTAAAGAGTTAGTGCGCAATGTGTAGTTACCTAAAGCAACCAATCAGTTATTTCTTAATTGACCGGACTTCAGAAGACTGCACTTTGCACAAAAGCATTGCTTCTTCCACTGCCTTACTCAATAAACCTGCTGGTGTCTAATGAATACTAAATAAACAAGAGAACACTGTAAAAGTTAAGTGCATAACAACAAGTAACTACATTAAAAGAGGCAGAAGGGTTCAATGGGTTCCTCTTTCTTCTGCAGAGAGAAACTGCATTGCACCAGTCTGGATATATGCTGCAACTTGTGGAGTGAATTACTGAGTCTACGTAACACAAGATTTCTAAGTGGAGGCTGAAGACAGCACATTCAGTTGCTTGGCATCCATCCTTCTGTCCCTGACAGAAACTTATTAACCCCTTGTATGGATTGAAACAGTTCAAGCCTCTCAGATCAATGATATAAGCTCTGAAAGATTGATTAAATCAATGTAAAAGTACTTATGAACAAAGGAAAAATAAGATTTTTTGATACGTTCCTCAACATGACATATCAATTGGACTATGTACTTTTAATATACAGTGATAAAAGAAATAAAAAGAAAAAAGAAGTTAAATAAACTTCCTTTCAATGATGATTCAGAGAAAGACAAGTGTTTGTGTGGGTGTTGCAAAGGGTGTTAGGAAACACTCCTTTGAAGTGCCCAATTGATTGTGTGGGCCTTTCGGGTGCTTAGATCCGTCACCCACCAGCCAAGTATAGAACATGACTTTGCATGTATTTGACTGTATATCAAGTGAACACAACCCAGACGTATCCAAGCATGCACAGCTATCTAACTGGTAGTGTTTGCCCTGCACTACAGCTGGCCAGAGATAGCTAGAACAAGAATGCCTAGGCTAGAGATAAACATACTTGGTCTCAAAATCCTGTATGAGACTGATTGAAACATTGCTGTGCAATGGAGAGGTCAACAACAAACAGATAATGATGAGTCTTTCAAGCACATACTACTGCATACATAACATTTTCCAGCATGATGGCCAAATTGCTGGGCTTTCCTTTTCCATCAAACCTTTCACCCTACCTACTCACTAAAAGTCAGGATGGAGGCAAGATAGGGGGTTTGAATAGTGCAGACATATGAGTGAAGTTGGACCCCTTCTATCACTGTCAGGGAAAGACCTCTTTAAGACTAACTAAATGCTGGCCATACACATGCCAAAATTTAGGAAATTTTGAATACTTAATCCAGCTTGGAATCCAGCTGGAAACATGGATCAAGGCAACCTTCAGTTTCTGCCAAAACCTTTAAAAAGTTAAAACAGTAGGTGGTTAAAATGCCTTGACCTGACAGCTTGCTGAAAGTGGTTACATTTGTCTGCAAAATTACCATGTATAGGGCCAACACTATGTTGGCCAAAAATGTGGCAATCTTATGTAGTGATCAAACATTCGATTACATTTTTGGTTGAAAATTGCAAACCAACTAAAGACATAAATGGTCGGCATAGTATTGGCATGGTTTCGGTCGACCACAAGGAGATGGAATCACAAGTTACCTCAATAGAAAGCAGTGGAAAAATGTGATTACTTTCTACCTTTCTACAAGATTTCTGTAGTTCTTTTCCATTCTGATTGGCATTTCAGTTCTTTCACAGTTTTCTTCTTTATTGTAGCTGTCAATTTGTTGTCAAGTTTGGTGGTCCATCAAACTTTTGAGTGGTACAGTGCTTCGTTTCTGGTGATTGCTTTCAATTATGCTTTTTATTCCCTGTGGATTTAAACAGGTTAAAATTACCTGAAAATTGTCATGTGCATGGCCAGCTTTTGGTTTTATGCACACCATGGTCTTGTAAAACACTATTGACAGATCCATTCAGTCTATTTAGCAATGTATATTTAGTTCCAATTTAGAAATAAAATTGTATTCAGGAGTATCCAAAAGAAAATAAGAGAACAAGTCCATACATCAGCTCAAAGGCTGACCATTGAAGGGCCAAACTCTCAAATTAAACAGTTGATGGAGAGAAAAACACACGGTAGTGATAGTAAAACTGTCAGAGATTTTCCAGCAATTTACAACTTTACTATGTGAGATGATGACTACTGCTTGCACTTGTGCCTTAGCAGAAAATAACAGCTTTGCACGATTGCAACCCCTCTTCCCTCCACATACTTGAAAACCTGATCTGTTGGGTTTTTTTAAAAACTTTTTTGGGGTGATTTTTCCACCCTGCACCTTGCTTTCATTCTCCCCCAGGTGAGAATGACATCAGCTCTTGTCCAGCAGCTTTCGGGGATATTTACGTTAGTTATCCCAGGAGGCATTGGCTTCAACCCAGCAGCTGGAGGGGAAGGACCTGGCGGCGCATCATCAGTGGGCCAGCTGCAAGCACCTGGATAGACAGCCAACTCCCAATCAATGACATCAGAGAGGAAGATAATGGTGCAGGAATGTTGGATTCGTTGGGCAGGTGAGTATGTCAATTGACCGTAACACAGGGAGCAATGGAGCAAGTGCACTACCTACATAGCAATCAATCAGGAATCTCCCTTCTTTTTTCTGAAAGAGCTAACCTAATACATCTGAAATCTGATTGGCTGCTCTGTGTAACTGCACATCACTCCTCTTTACACTCTCTTAATAAATAAGCCTTGATGCTATACTCAAGTCGATAAACCTCTTAAAACACCATCACCCCTTAATTGGTTTGGGAATGTTTTCTCAAAAGGATTTTTGCTTCTTGATGGTAAATGGTGATGTTCCTATTTCCTGCATGCAGAAATCTTACACTCACAAGGTGCTTTTTTTAATATATCTAGTCACTTATCTTGTTGCGTTTGCAAATATCATATGTATTCTCTAGAGATAAAAATAGTGCTAGATGATTAGTTAGGCAAGTTCACTTGACACCATTCCCTATCCGTGACGCTGGGACCTAAGATCTGTATATGGTATGCAACTTAAAGTATATATAAATGGGGCTAGCCCTGAGGGGGACACTCAGCAAGCACTCCACTGCCAAGGAGGTCTCCTCTCTGCCCAGCCTAAACCACCACAAGGTAAGCTGCTAAGACGCAGACCCATGGGACACAGCAGACCAAGGGATTGCAGCAGCACAAGAGGAGGAAGATTTCGACAGAAGTCAATGAATGTCAGAATAAGGGGACTATTATACAGAAGCATAACCACTGCAAGATTAAGTGGAAGAAGATAAAGCTTGCTTCCTCATCCAGACCATCATTCACATAGTCATTCAGTCATGTATTTTTTTTAAATGCAAGATAAAAAATATTTATAAACAAAACACAAAAATATTTATAAATATACATTCTTACTTCACTTCTAAGAAAAATAGCATTACATTTTATTTATAAATGAGGAGTGAAGTTTAGAAAAAATTGAATTTCTGAGTTTTCATAGACAAAATACAATGGACATTCATCCTAATACCAGACAATATTTGTTGGGGAACATTTAAGCATTCTTTTTAATTAATAGATAGTTTAATGCAATCCTTTCTTTTTATTTACAGAACAAAAATGTCTATCACTGACATTGTCTCCCAGAAAGACATTGAAGCTGCACTTGAGAGTGTGAAGGGTAAGCTAATAATTACTACTTAATCCAGAAAACCCATACACATTTAATAATACAGAGCTGTACTAGTATGTAAAGCTGTGTAGGCTGGTATTATTATTATAATTATTATGCAAATCTTTTAAATAATAGCTTATTGATCAGCAAAGCATACAATAAATGTGATATTATTAGATGCTCAACACTTCTATTCATACCAACATTTACCTATATTACCTAACAACAATTAACATTTTAGAATGGCATGATACTTTGTAAGCTAAATAAATCCTGATACAGATTTTATTTTTAAATGCTGCAAATTGCTTATTTTGGGTTCGGCAAAAAATTAATATGACAACAATAAATATCTATAGAATAAAAACCTATAGAAAATAGGCCCAATTTTGGTAATGGTCAAATTTTTCAGTTTGGTGAATTGTATTTTACCTTTAGACATAGAAAACATTATATGCTTTCTTGATTTCTTTTCAGCTGAAGGTTCTTTCAATTACAAAACCTTTTTCCAGAAGGTTGGCCTGACCGGCAAGAGCACAGGCGATGCTAAGAAGCTTTTCGAAATTCTTGACAGAGACAATAGTGGATACATTGAGGAAGACGAACTTAGGTAATAATACTTCAACATGTTTTTTTAAACTGAGATACAGTGAGGTTGATTTACTTTGCAAGGTAATTTTCCATTGGCTTAATGAATGTGGTGAAAGCTCCCTTTGGAAAGAAAACCCAATCACGTGCAAGAAAAATTAAATTAAAAAACAGTATTTTTGCTTTTCCTTGCTTCATGATTGGATGATGGAAGTCAGCAGAGCTTCACCTCCCTCACTAAACTAAGAGAACATTCCCTTCCAAAGTGAACATTCTCTTGCAAAGAAAACAGTCTATTTGCCAAATCGATCCCAGAGGGTCATCGAGGCATGAATTATGTTAGTAGAAACAAAACAACATAACTTACAAAAAAATCTGAACGATCCAAACCACATAGACTTAAAGACCAGGCTGGCTTAAAATATTTGTTTTAGGTTGGCACTAGTGGCCTAAATAACCCACTGGATAAATTCACTTTTATGGACCTGCTGTCTTTTCTGCAATGTATAAATAAGTGGGCAATCCAACATGGAGCTTTAGGCCTTTTGAACTTTTGTCCCTTGTCTGTAGACCTGGCAAGTTGTGAGAAAATAAAGTTAGTGAGTGAATCAACCTGTCTATGCCTATCAAAATAGAAACATTGGTTTTGAGTGGACTGATCCTTTAGAGAATATCGATACTTAGATATTTTAAGTCCAATAGTATTGTAATAGTGAATGCAGAAACATACAGATTTTTGGTCTTCGATCGTGAAACATAGCATTACTGGGTTTTTTGTTTTCTCTGTTCTATGCCAGCCTTTTCCTGAAGAACTTCAAGCCTAGCGCCAGAGCTCTGACTGCTGCTGAGACCACAGCTTTCCTGAAGGCTGGTGACTCTGATGGAGATGGCAAGATTGGAGTAGAAGGTAATCTTTATACCTTGTAATCAAGACTCAAAATAAATTGGACTGCTGTGGTATTGTGATGGTAATACCAAGCTGCCAATGCTATTTGAGGACACTCCCAAAACAGACTCTAGTTACATAAGCAACAGTATTTAATGCAAGTTGATGTCACTGGCTCCACGACATACAGATATATAATATATACTGATATGAATAAACTAAAAAAGATTTAACCTATAAAGTGCACTTAATATTTGTTGATGGGACCAATGGAGCTGATGAAACTGGTGCATAAGTAATGCTATTACACATCTGGGGTGGTCCTGAAAGGGGAGGGACTTTTGAAATCATGCAGTTTTACCAAATATGGACAAACTGGGTGTAGAGTTTGAGTGAACTCTGCTTGGGATTAATATATTGTTTTTGTTTTAAATGAGGGGTGTGCTATTAATCTCAGTTGGTAAGTAAATCTTTAATGCCAACAGAACTATAAATACTTAAACCATAAACTGTTAATAAAGATACATGTTATTCCTTAAGTATAAAATCTAGAAATAGCACTATTACAAAGGTGTTGTTTTTTGTAACCTGTACTAGAATTTAGTTTTGCCTTAAGTTTTTTTTTATATATTAAAAAACATATATAACTTTAAAATAGTTTATTATAGAACATAAGAGTTTGGTTTGATTAACTGTGCCGTTCTTAACGCAATGTTTCCAGGTTTCTATGTAGTTTCCCTTTAACTTGAACAGGTGCTTAATGAAAATATAAGATTCCTAGGTTTGCAGTCATCTACCTCTGCAAGTGTGTAAAGAAAAAAAATATTTTACTAGGTTCAAGAAGTGTAATATTTAAGTAGCTTAAAATGAACATCTACTACGTATGACTTAGTTGCAAAGAAAGGGCAAATATTTTAGGGGTGAATTGTAATCTTTTAAATTTGTTTTACATTCCAGAATTCCAGGCTCTGGTAAAGGCATAAACAGCCCAAGACCAAAAGACTTCCCGGACTGAACCCTCATTTTTCACTCAACGGACATCTCATTCATGGCTGGCACTTATTTGTGCATTTTTCTACTGTCTCACGGCATTGGTACAATGCCTGTATGTTAACTCTTTTTTGGGACTACTGAAATATCTAATAATGTACAGGTATTCTGCTCACTCGATGTTACGTCTTAAGTGTTTATGGATGGCACATAGTGATCTTGACCAATCACAATGTGGAAGCTGTGGCTGGAAGATGGAAAAACAAAAATACAAACTATTTAAATAAAAAAAAACTGTTTGACAATTCTTTTACTTTTTTATTTCTAAAAAATCATGAAAACAATTACACAGAAAATTTTCAGAATCTTAAGTATAGTTGAAAAAATAAAATAAAAATGGCTGTAGCAAGCAGATGATATGCATACTCAAGGTGATTATATTTATTCCATTGATTTTCATTACTAAGCAAATAAAAAAAACTCAACTGCTTAATTCACAAAACATACCATTATTTATTTTGAAACATATTAACATATTTAAAAAGTATTTTTTTAACTGTTTTCATTCCCAAGGTTTACAATTACTACTTCTTTTGCCACTACTACTATTTTACAACTTTTATTTACAAAAAAACATATTTTGTGTCTTTTATATTTCTATTTTGTAATTTTGCAGTTTCTATTAAAAATTAGCAAACTGGCTCACCCTAATAAGATTCTCCTAAATAGAAATGAGCTCATGTTTTTAGAATGGCTTTACTTACTACAAGCTATCGCATAACATGAACACAGTGTGGAAGCCAACAGCAATCTTAACATTTTGTTCGGCTCCCTTGACTACTGACTGCTGGGTCTAAGACGTAATCCAATATAATTTCTGAAGCCACACTACTTGTTTCTCGTATGTTTGAGGTCAGGTTTTTAGAGAAGGACTAGTTATTTGTAAATGTTTTATACTAATTTTATTAGGTTTGATTAAAAAGAATTCTGCTCAGGATCTAAAATGTGCATCGTCCAGTCCAGTTAAAAAGCACAGAGCCCTAAAAGATATATATATTTATACCCATGTGTAAACCTATGTTTATTCTCTTTTTCTACAAAATATTAGGTTTACTTAAACAGCTCATTTAACATGAAACATTATTTTAAACATGGGCTTAAATAAATCACACATTTGTGTTCATTATATATTTTTAAGGCTGGAAAAAAAACATTTTGAAAGCTACCTAAAATGACAAGTGCTTATTACAGGGGTCCAGTTGAAATAGAAAGGAACGCTGCTGAATCTTACATTGCTCAGTGGTCTGTGAACTCTCAGCCCATCTTAAGTTGCAGGTTGTGTTTCACTTACAGTGCTGGCATGCTGCTGAGTTGTTTGGCATATGGAGCCTGGGACTGCAATGCCAGAAATCTGGATGAAATATTATGCTGCGCCAAGCGGACATACCAGAGAGTTAGCATGAAGGGATGTTGGGTCAAGGCTTCTGTATAGTGCTTTAGGTAAATGTAGCAGGTAATAGGCTAAATCCAATGCAATTAGAGAGAGCTCTGATTAAACATTTGCATCAGTGGTGACTCTAGGAACAATATATGGGGGGGCACATAAGATACCACAATCAAAACTGGGGGGGGCACTAATAATTTTCACCACTTAATCATACCACTGAAAAAACTAAATAAGTATATATAAATAAGATTACAACTCAGAGAGTAATGCGGTATGCAATGATACACACACATATACATACATATATATTACAATAAAAAGTTATGTGTATGTAGACAGTGGGGTTAGACTCAGGACCAAAAGTGCATGGTTGGATGTCTCCATCCTGTGCGCCTATCTACCATAGAGTGCTGGGAGTGATGTAATTTCCTCTCAACACCACGGAGGAGATGAAGAGGGAGATTTTGGGTGGCGTCGGATTACATGTTGCAACCGCCTGGAGCTGATTTAATAGCGCATAGCATTGGCGCCCGATGGTTGCAACATGTCCAACGCAACCCACAATCCTGAATACTGCAACCACCAGGTTCCGATGCCATCAGCTCTCAGCGGGTGCCGTATTCAGGATTCGAATCCTGGAGTGGCAGCCTAATTTAGCGGGCAGGGGCGGATTCAGAGTCTAATGTCGGGAGCGGCACTACCAGAAAATAAAGGTGTTGCTTTATTGTAATTGTAATAATACATTACATTGCAGTTGTTTGCCCTTTTTTTCTACACATCCTGACATTTTTGTGTGCAGCAATGGAATCTCTGCCAACATGTGGCACATCGCTGTCATTAAAATGGGTATGTCATCCACATTGCACATTACTATGTTTTGTTGCTGTAGAGCTTTGTGATACACATGATCCAGGCACAGTGGGAAGGATGGAGTGCCCCAGACTTAAAGGGTTATTAAACTTTCACTTTTTTGCATATATCTACTGCTAGCAAGCAGTAGATATATGCAAAACGATTAAAAAAAACAACTTTTGCAAAGGGTTAATACTTACCTGTGTCTCCGCTCCACGCTCCCGTCCGACATCTGAAAATTTCTCAGAAGGCTGCAAAAGATCTTAGGCCGGGCGCATGCGCAGTTCAGATGTTCGGCCTGGAGACGAGGAGAGACACAAGGTAAGTATATGGGGCAGCGACCACCCGCACAGACTCCATGGGACAGCAGAGGAGAGGAGGACAGAGGAGTCAGTGCTGGATCAGAGACCTGCATCAGCGCTGGTGGGACAGCTGACAACTACTGGAAAGAAGAAGATTGGATTAAGAGACATCATTTATAGCAAGTCCCTACACTAACATTGGGGGAGGGGGAAAAATTATCATTTAATATCACTTTAAGGTAGGGGGCCTGGGAACCTGCAATGTCGCTGGTTATCAGAGCCCCCTTCCTCCTGTCTGGGCCCACCAAGTGACACAATGCTAGGGCCCAGTTGCAGCTACAACTATGTGACCCTGGTAGTTCTGCCACTGTATAGAGGACTATAAATCTCAACAATACATTATACAGCAATGCAGAATACCACCAGCTATAAAGCAAGGCCCCAGCATGGGCTGAAGCGGCCGCCTAATTTTCCTGACTACAGTGCACCCAGTGGCAGACCTAAAGGACAAAGATCCTGGCTTCCTGATTGGCCCTCCAAAGCTAATTATGAGTTAAGAATACCTGCATGTCCTGCGAACGTGATTTTGCATTTGCCGCACTGCTCTATTGATTTCAATGGTCATATCTGCGTGGCATCTAGAAGATATGTTCTTATATTTGTATTCCTTTAGCATGACATGTTCATGTGCGGCGCAATGGATGTAATCGCCGTTTTCGCACGTAGGCGGGCTTAACGCACGTTTGCGTGTGCATGTGGGGGTGGGGGAGTTTAATTTTTTTTTATTGCTTTGATTTGTAACACATTTTTTAAACCTTTTTTTTTCACTGAACTTTATTGCTATCACATAGGGAGCAAACAAGCTCCTTTTTGAAATAGCCAATTTGCAGTGACAGGTCCTCTTTATGGAGACACCAGAGGTCTTTAAGACCCCTAATGTCACCTAGGGACCCCCAGAGAAGCTGATGAAGCAGAGACCTGCTTCACCAGCTTCTCTCCGTTTTCTGTACCGGAGAGTGACACTGAATGCAGGCAGTGATGTAATACACATCACTTCCTGCATTCAGAAGAGGAGATCAAACGGAGATCGTGTACTGTGCTCCGTTTGATCTCCGGCCGCAGAGCTGCTGTGCTGGTCCCAGGCTCACACCAGGAACAGCGGAGCCCGGGATCGCCAGCAGCGGTGGCGACGGAGGGGGGGCGCACACCCGACCGCATATTACAAGCGATCGGGTGTCTCTACAGATGCCCGAACGCTTGTATTATCCTACGTTTCTGGGACAGAAAGTGAGGAGAAATGTTCTTGACATTACACAGACACAGAAGTCTTAACTTTTCCCTATTTGGTTTTAATCTTGGAGTGAGGATGGGTCTGATAAACTCTAAAATTGTATTGCTAATCTGGGTTTCTGCTTGGCAGATATAGATAAGAGAAAATTAGGGTAAATTCCCCTAAAGGGGACACAGATATCAAGACAAAAACTTTTTCTAGTAGAGTGAGAAAGTTCAGAAACTTGATTTTTTTTTACTGTCTCTGTCCGCATGAGAGAAATTCCCCTTCACTTCCTGGCCAGGTGACAGAATAGTAGGTAATGAGAAATCACATGGTACATTGGTACATTGGATACAGACAAATTTGAGAGAGCTTCTAACCCTTCCCAGCTCTAAAACTAAGAAAAATGTGTTGGATGGAGCTAGACAATAATATACATACAGGGGGAATTTATCAAAAACTGTAGCACACACAAAAATCTGAGCAGTTGCCCATGGCAACTAATCAGCTTCTCTCTTCAATTTGTTCAGTTAAGGTTTGAAAATGAAAGAGAGAAGCTGATTGGTTGCCATGCACATCTGCTCCAGATTTTGTCTGTTTCAGTTTTGATAAATTCCATTCACAGTAATTTTTCTTCTTGAGAAAACAAGAATTTGAAAAAAGACAAATCATGCCTAGGAATCTCTTCAAGACAAGGATATTTTCTGCATTAAATCTGGAGTGATTCTGATCGAAAGGTGTTAGCCATTTAATTAACTTTTTTTAACCTTTTTCTTGAATGCCCCACATTGTTCCAACACAATGTAGCAGACTATATCTCTTTATTCTTTGACAGTAAAATGCAGTTTGTGACAGCCTGTATGACAATACTTTGTCATCATATGACCACAGTCTGTAAAAAAATAATTGGTGTCAGTGGTTACTGAGAGGATAGGCTTCCTCTGGTCCTGTAATTCTGACTCTGCAGGGTGACGTCAGCCCTGGAAATATGCAAGCACCCTCAGGCAGGTGATCCATCTTCAACTGGTCAAGGAACCCCTAGAACCCTTTGGAGGTATTCTTGGGTTCCATTGAACCTTAACTGAGAAAGGCTGCTACTAACCATTAAACAGACAGGGCAGTGTGAACTGTGAAGCTGATTCTTTAACCCCTTCATGACTGAGGCCCTTTTTTCAATTTTTGCACCCATGTTATATTCCACATTTTAGGCCTGAAAATGACGTAAAACCCCCCAACATTATATATTTTCTGAATGCCAAGACCCTATAGAATAAAATGGTGGTAGTTGAAAATTTTTATGTTGCGCAATATTAGCGCAACTCCTTATTAAACCCCAAAATGTAGTGACAAATTTAATTAAATGCCCCAAAACACAACAAATTACCCATTTTTTAAATGAAATATAAAAGATGAGGTTACAACGAGTAAAAC